ATTGGAAACCAGATTCACAGAACACAATAAAAACCGTCCCATGTTTTCCACCATTGGAACTCAAAAAGCCATAGTATATTTATTAAAAATTTTAAACAAAGAACCAAACACAAACAAACGAAAAATCAAGGAATCCATCTTAATTTAACAAAACAACCCTACTCTAAACCAACACCTTGGAATGCCAAGATATCTCTTCTAAGTCCTGCAACAGTATCCGGTCATATGACCTCTTTGTTCCATACTGTATATATATATCTGTGTCAGTGTAAACTACTTGTACCTGATGATGACAAAACCTTGTCAAAACATTGTACATTTGCTGTTATGTTAAACTTACATTAAAGTTTTTCTTCATTACCCATTCAAGCCATCTCCAAGCATTATAGTGTACTGATATATTAACTTAATGGTCAAAGAGTAAACATTATGTAAGACATTTATTATTTAAAACAATTTTTTGTCCTTTTTAATTTATATAAATAATATAAATCCTTAACATTCACTACTTTAATTTTTCTGCTATGATTATGATGATTATAAAATTCAGTATTGCAGAGAAAAAGTATTTTTTTAAATTTGAATTGAAACAATGTAGTAATAAATATTTATTCCAAAAACAAAAATTGACATACGAGTGACCTCACATTATTCTAATTTTTCTTAAAGTTGTAACAACAGTAGGAAAGCTTATTCACTTATTGTTTGTGATGATAACCTAATAGTGAGACTGAAAGGAAGTTACCAGAACCACAAGACCTTTATACCAAAGTTGCTGATGTTGAGAAGCAGATGAAAAGCTCAGCTGCGACTACAGCTGAATTGGAAAAAAATATGAAGAGTTGGATACCAGTAAGCATGAGCTTTTCTTTAAATGTTCTAATTTTGAATTAGTTTTTTAAATAGCTTTAAATTAATTACAGTCTGTAAAGTACATGCAATAAAAGTTTTTTGGTGTTCTGTTTTAGCCTAAGTATCCAATACAGTTGTATGAAAAATAAAACATCATGTACACTTTTCCTTACAATATTGAATAGTTTATTTGCTATATTTATTTTGATCTTTATACCTTTTACAGCTTCAAGAATTTTATATTGTAGGATTTAAGAATCTACAAATTCCAGTGGGTTTTTTCATTTCCTGATTAATAACACTGAAATCTCGTTTGTTTGTGTCATATTTAAATAAGCAGAATCATTGCATCTTCAGTTTATTTCCACAACTATCAATCGTGCTTTCAGTATATTAGTATATATATCTCAGCTGCAATTTTATATTTTCTTTTATTTGAAAATGTAACTGTTAGTTTGAGGTTTTGGAAATGATGCATTATAATTTACAGGGAATGAAAGAAGACAGTTGGTGGCAGAAGTGGATGCTTTCTCAGCATGAACAACAACAAGATCTTTTCAGAAAATTATTGGATTCACTGCAATCAATGAAAATAGGTGAAAGAAACCAATCTAAAAAGGAAGAACTAAACATTAACGTGAGTGATATATGTTTTGTACAACATAGTTGTGCAGAGAGAGATTTCACATTAAAACTTCTTGTGGCTTAGTGCCAGGCTGTGTGTCTCATTTAGAGTATGTTATAAAACATTAAAAATCTCTCAAGGGGAGAATGTCATGTTGTGAGTATTTAAGCTACAGATATAATACATTACTTTCAGGTTTATGCTTTCTTGTTAAGCTTAAATATACTGTTAATATGCTGCTTTCAGATGCAGTATTTTCTCAGGGTGTGAGAAATTCTGAATTACATTTGTTAATTGAAAGTAATGTTTGCTTTATAATCAATAACTTCTATATTTGAAAGATAATAGTATCCAAAATTTTGCCAGCTGGCTATTCACTTGATAATGCAAATCACACAATAATTGGAGGGAGGATTAACTAATATAGAGTCTGACATATATTAAAGTCATAAACAGGCTTTAAAACATCAAATTACGTTGTATCCTAATGTTGTGTGGTAAAATAAGAAACTTACAACAGAAGATGAGGACAATAACAAATGGCATAATGTACCATAACATGTCAAAAAGAAAAATGAGTAATAAAACTTAATTATCAAAACCTGACCCTGACAATCCTATCTGTTTATCCCACGCCCAGTTTTCCCACATTTGTCTTACTCTTGTGGCTCTTGTCTACCATACACCTCCTTTCTGAGGCACTGAACCTATCTCTTGAGAGATGTTTGGGAGAATACCTTCTCTCTCCTTCCCTTCACATTGGCACAATTGTCCTCTCCACATTTCTATATCTCATCAGTCCAGACACTATTTTCAGTTTGTTCACCACAGGATTGTGTACCAGTTTCGTGCATTGTCCTTTGAATTTGAATCGGCTCTGTATGTGTTTTATCAGGTGATCAAAGCATTTGCCTGACTTATGCATGCTCAGGGGTTGTGCTTACACCACTACATGGATGACTGGCTTCTGTTAGCTCATTCCGAAGTAGGTTGGATTATCAAGTTAGGGAGGTCTTTCCTGTTACCTACCCAATATCTTGTCGATATTAGAGCTTTCAGTTCTCCACACCCTTGCTGCTTTCTATCTTATTGCTCATGGGGGTTCAGTCTCTTTCAGGATGCACTAATGGAAGCACTTATCCCCTTGGGTTGGGCACATATGCAGCCTTTTCAGTGAATGCTGTATGACCAGTGGAATCTTGCTTGGTATCCTTTGGATTCTCCCATTACCCTTCCTCCATCCCTCATTGACGACCTGCATTGGTAGTTGAACAAGGCCCACATGTTGTCAGATGTACCGCTTCCTTCTCCTCCTCCAGATTTGCATCACTTCACAGATACTTCTCTCCACAATTGGGGGGCATGGGTCAGTCATCAGGAGGCTTCTGGACAACATCCTGGATCTTCTGGCAGTACAACCTGCTTTGGATCACTTTCTTCCCTTTGTCTGGAATCGACTTGGCCTGATCCATTCCAATAATTCTACGGTGGGGGATTATATCAATCACCAAGAGCTCACCCATTCTCGTTCCCTTTGTGTTTGAACCTTGGATCTCATTTTTTGGGCCCACACTTTTGGGATACATCTTTTTGCATGTCATATTTCCAGGTGCTTTTAACATCATGGCAGAATGCCTTTCCAAACCAGGCAAAATTTATCCCATGGAGTGGTCTCTTGATCCTCATATTTTCCAGTGGCTATGCCTCCATTGGGGTACTCCTTAGATGGATGCATTTGCCACTTTCGTCAATTCCAAATTACTTTTATTTTGGTGTCCGGTTCCTCATCCACATGCCCTAGCTGTCGATGTGTTCAGCCAGGATTGGAACAGCCGATACCTCTATGTTTATTCTCCCATCCATCTTCTTCTCTGGGTGATGTCGATCATCCCTGCCACTCCATATCAGGTCTTTCTGATTGTTCCCTACTGGCTGGCACAACCCTGGTTTTCTCAACTACTTCAGCTCTGAACTACCCCTCTATTGCCTCTACTCCATCCCTATTAAGTCAGCGTCGGTCACCGGTATTTCATCTCAACCTTCCTACCCTCTGTCTTCATGCCTAGCATTTATCTGGTCCTTGGCAAGGAGATCTGGATTATCTAGGCAAATTGCTTCTTTTTCAGCACATTCCAATCGCCCTTCCCCAGTGGCTGTCTAACAACGTAAATGGACCATTTTTGACCAATGGTCTTTGAGCTTTGGTTTTCCCCCTCTCGACCCACCTTTCCTCTTCTTACAGATGTCCTCACTTGGCTGTTTGATCATGAGACTTCTGTCTCATCCATCGCTTGTTATCGAACAGTCTTATTTCACACCTTCCATTTTTTCCAGTACTGTTTTATGTTTACCTCCCCTACCCTCTCCCTTTTGTTGCATTCCTTCCAGATTTGTAGACCTCCTTGTCAAGTAGTCCTTCCAGATTGAGATGTCAATGTGATTCTTAATTGCCTTACTCTACCTCTGTTTGAACCTTTGGCCTCCTGCTTTTTTTCAGTTGTCCCTTGAGATTTATTTCATGCACTCTATACCATACCACATATGTTCTCCTTTATCTGGATCAATCTTTCCTTCCCAAAACTTCAGCAGCTCATGAGGGGAATTCAATTCTTCCTTCTCTCTCCCACCTTTATTCCCAGTCAGATCTAGATAGGCTTCTATGTTCTGTATGTGCTCTTCATTGTTACATTGCCCACACAGCTTCCTTCCAATGTTCTCATTTTTACTTTTTTCATTCTCTGGCAAAGTTCTTCAGTCCATGACCTTTCTCATTCCATCCTTATCAGTTGGGTTCAGTTTTTGATTCGATTGGCTTATTCATCTTTGTCTCCTTTTTCCCAAAATCTGTTACAGGTGTCTTTGCATCAGATCAGGCATTTTACCTTTTCCTTAGTGTCTCACTTCTGTCATCCATTGAAGGAAATTCTTCAGTCGGGCATGTGGACTACTCATATGTTCATCTCCCACTATCTTCATTGGGTGGCTATTTCTTCATCGTTAGGGTACTGTCTTCCACCTGTTGTCATCCTTCAAACTTTGGTGAGGCTGTGACTGGGTATGTTATATTTTTGATATACATTTTCCTTTTTTTTTTCCTTTAAGGATCCCGCTCTGTGGCAAGCACTGCCTGTCCAGGTATGCTTAATATATCTCAAATCTGCACTGTACCACCATGATGAAATCATACATAATATACAATATATCCATGGCCAATAATGCACAATGTTGAGATTGGGTATTCCACAAGATCACTAGTAAGTTTTTCCCTCACTATATATATTTGCTTCATTAATATGCCTGTTCCAGACTACACTAACCCCATGGACTTACATAAGTAAAGCAGAAGGAGATAGCTGCTCTTTCCTGCCATACCTTTAACTGAATAAATTTGGATGGTGTGCTTTTCAAAATTAGGTTTTCATTGTTACCTATTACACTGTCTCTGGTGTTGGCATTCCTCCGGACTCCGTGTGATGGGTCCCGAAGATTGATTTTGCATGCGGCTTCTATGCATTTCTTTCCGGAAGATAAAGTTGCTTATAATTTATGTATGCAATCCACTTCATGCAGTGAGACATGGAGGTTGCTATGGCACTCCAACCTTTGTGTAGTCCTATCTGGAGTTGATCTGTCACATTGCAGTTCACCTCTTCGATTGTGATCCCTTATTCTACCATCACATGGATGTCAGTTCTCAGTGACTGGTTTTTGATTAAGAGCAAGACCAGTCAACATAAGTCCTCATACGTGTTGCTTGTGTTTCCTCTTTCTCACTCAATTTGCCTCATGATCACCAACTCAGTGCAGTAGGCCCCAGAGGTTGATATTGCACCCAGCTTCTGTGCGGTTCTATCTGGAGGGTGAGGTGGTTATATTTTTTATCATTGGCTATCCACTTCTATGCAGTGGACCTGTAGAGTGCCATTGCACTCCAACTTCTGTGTGGTCCTATCTGGAGGATAAAGTTGAATGGAGTGACAGTTTCCTCTCTTGCACTCCACCTCAAGAAGTTTCGCAGCCCAAGGATAATGTTGCACAATGGGGTGCCAGTATGATTGAGTTTATGTTCTATGTCACTTGCCACATGGGCACATCTCTTATGACCATTGTTTGGTTGTTGGGTTCCTGGATGTATAGTTAGTTGTGGATTTGCACAAATGTCCATTTTTAAGATTGGTTTGCATAATATATACTTCTGTTCTACTGCACTTGAGATGAAGACAGTGTGGATCCTCCTCCTACCATGGATTGGAGATTATATTCCCAATACCGATCAGTTTTGGACTGGAGCTGACCTGCTTCATATGGTCTGTCACACCCTAACCACACTACACCTTGGAGCACATCCAATTTAGCTTTCACCCACATTACTGTCTGTAGATGTTTCTTCTACAGTCTTTCTTGGACAGGATTGAGATTATGATATACTGTGGTTTGGACTACAATCCAACCATTTTTCTCTACCTTTTTCTGCCTGTGAATGTGACACCTCTTTCCACACTGGGCACATAGTATACCTGGTACAGAAGTTGGGATCACAATTCAGGGGGGGGCTTCGGACACTTTCAAAGGATGCGTCCTTCTATCCTTCCACCTATCCAATGTGAATGTGGGATTCTAACTATGTATGTGACAGGTGGGTAACGTATTGTATCAGAAGTTATAATTTTCCTATACTGAAAATGTATTTCCTATAGGTACTCACCTCCCACCCTTCCTCCCCACTGAAAACCATTGCTTCTTTTTCTGCCTGAACTCAAAGTGATAGTTCAGTAGAATTGATTAGAAGGAGTCACAAGTGTCAGGAGGGTGTGTCGCACTCCTAGTGATGGAGGGTTGTTGTATGATGATTTACATGTGAGACATGATCGTGATGTACATGGGAGGGCAAGACTTGTGGCATGCAAAAAAAATTTTGCATATAGAGGGCAACACAGAAAGAGAATAGCTGTATATGTGAGAGAAGATAAGTACTTATCAGAAATACATTTTCAGTATATGAAAATTATAAC